GGCATACGCCAAACATATTCTGAATACCGGACACGCATACAATACAATAACAGAAACAATGGACATTCTAAAAATAGTACAAAATAAGAGACATAGAGATACAATAGAAAAATATCATATACAACAAACATTTAAACAAAACAATTGCCTAAACGATAATAATATTTACCTTAATAACCCCATCTTTAATGCCCTTCAGATCCTTGACCCCAACCCCGACAACCACCTTTCACTTACTCTCCCTACAAGCAACCGCAATCAGTATTGAACCTTGTTCGGATACATCATTACTCCTAGACACCTCCAGACACATCAACGTGTCTACACTCTCATCTTTGGTATGTTTAATTTTACTTTCCAATTATATAATTATTATTTCATTTTGTTTTCTATATTCTTTCATATTCATTAGTGTTTCTTTGAATCATTTGCTTTGTAAAAGCATTCACTTCAAAACAATACATTTGCTCCAATATGTGAAAATAATCTGGATATGAACATCTCCAAAAAGCTACACAACAGAAATTGTAATTGAGTTTTAAGTTTGTTGATATAATTTTACACCTGAAGATGGTTCGATGAAACCGAAACATGTTGTAAAAATGTTAATTATTGGTTGATTTAGGCCGGTGTTAAATTGAAATGCTCGTAAGCACACACGACCTATTTGCACAGTGTTACTCGTATGCCAGAGGTAATAGATACATTGCCTCTTAAAGAAATACCAGCGCAGAAGGATGTTTTTCCCGCTTCATCTCGTTTCGTTGAAGAGTAAGGTTTTTAAATTGAAAAGAAAAACCTCGAAATGGAGGATGCGTCAACAATGGCTAACTCCAACGTCATGAAACAAAATGTTTGATTTCAAGTTTGCTAACATAGGAGCTGCATGAACTTTTGAAACAGAGTTACAGCCGTTAAGTAAAAAACATTTCTGATACATACATCAATAAAATAGAATAAAATTTAATTATGATAATACTTTTGCAGGGCGTTTTATTACAACGTTGCAACACGAACAGCGGAGATTACGCGAGTGAAGACAGCTCTGAATTCGCAATGTAGCAACGCTGTACTGAGACACGGGGCAAGGAGGAATTGGAGTCCTTCCGTGGCCTTGAAGCATGCAAAGAGCACTTTGTGTAACGTGTTGCATTACTCGTAATTGTCGACTATGGAACTCCCATTTTACAAGAAACTGGCAGCTGAGATTCACACTATTCAGACTGAAAGAAAATCTCGAAAAAAAAAATAACACGAATTACAAATGAATAGCTTTAGAAACTTATAAAATAGGAATAATTTCTGTAGCTAACTCAGCTGAACACTCACTGTCTACCGGATTTTCGCAGTACATGAGCTACTTGAATAACCTTACTCTGCTATGAAATCCAAATACGGAGTTTCTTTACATGAACACAAAAACATGCCTCAGACCAGCAGATTCTAGCCCATTTCATCTCAAATACCTGACATTGTTCCACCAAACAATGGAGTAGATATATGCAGAGTCTCGGTTTCAAACAAGGTGAACAATGCGTCCTGGCTAGAATTATCACACTCATCACAAAACTCTCCCCATTAAGCATTACAACGCGTGGCACACGAGGAAGAGGCTAGAAATAATATGTTAATATTCCTGTGTCTAATTATCGAATGTGTCTGTTCAGTTACCAGCTAAAATATGAATCCCATTGTCTTTGTAATGACGAAAGATTTTCTTATATTAGTCTTCAAAATACCATTTCGTTATATGAACATATACAGATCACTTTAGCCTCGTAACTGGCACGTTAAACTTCGTTTACTGCAAGAAACAAACTCTGAATTAGAGTATTCCATACTTGTAATTGTTTAATAAGTTCCAAGAAAATCTTCTATGCTATTTATTGCATTAACCAGTATGTAGCTGTCTAGCGATAAAACCGCGGTGAATATAGAGATTGTTTTAAGTTTATAAACAGCAAATGGTGTCCGAGATTCCAGACCAGAGAGGAAAATACGGGAAGGAAAGTTTCAGACAGATGAGTTGACAGAGGCTTGTGGGTTAAGTAGCTAAACACTTTGACGCCAGGTCCCGAAGACTCGAACGCTTATACTAACACCCGCCATCAGACAAAATATTGAACTTTGCAAACGTTTTACAAGACAGGAAAGGCCAAGTGACGCGCTTTTCCCAAAGCTTTGTCGGTCGTTTGCAATTGTTTATTAGGGGTCTTAATAGATCGTGAATGTTGTCTTTCTAATTGCGGCTGAAAAGATATTAATGCAATAAAGCGCTTCATAATTTATACCTTCACCAAAAATTATTAGCGTAATCAAATCAAGGAGAATACGGCGGGCGGGAAAAATGGCATGCAAAATGCAAGGAAAACTTTGACATATACTAAGGATAACATTAGAATGGATGTTAATGATAAAGGATATAAGAATGTGGACTGGTTGAGGGCAGGGGCCAATGGTGTGCTATTGTAAACGAACGTTCAGAAACGGCAACAAACATTTTTGGTTCCATAAGAGACTGAAAGGTTCTTGATTAACAGAACTATTACTACTAACAGCTTCTTAAGAATACCATTGCTCCACTGACTCAGTTTTACACTCTCCTTTTAGTCGGTTTCCACCGTTTCGTGGACAGAGACAGAATACCTGAAAAATAAAAGTCTTTATCTCACGGCAAGGTTCATCCTTAAACACGACCTTCGAGTTCATCGTCACTTGTCATGAGTTGACACAATACCTCGCACCTCGTGTCATTAATTCCTGCTACAAGTGGCCGACGCGAGTTTGGTCATCCTCATAAGACGCAGTCAGCAACAATTTGACGCCCATGGTTAAGATCCTTACTGGAGTCGTAGTATATCTTTACACGCAGTCGAATTGACGGCTGGCACGTTCCACAAGAAAGGGAGAGAGTTTTCCCCGCAAAGAATCTTGCCACATTTCGGAACCGCAGTTTGCATATGCCACGTTCTCAAAGATGAACCTAGAAACTATCCCCGATAAAATACCAGGTTTATTACAACTATAAAAACATTTAGATTTAAAAACGAAATAAGAATAAACAAGAAAAAGTTTTCGGTGATAGAGGTAATACCCCCACTAAATATGAAGACACGGCGATAAAATCCAGAAAATAGCCAATTTCGGACTCGCCTCCGTGAAAACCTCAAATCCTACTAAATATGGCCTTGTTTCCATTCTTCATTAACTATTCGAATCTTGACAGAAGATGGTCATATTAATCATGCTTTTTATCAGATTTTTTAAGCTGGTCAAGAAATTCCCCGTCTGTTATGGAATCTGCGAGTTCATTATTATGTTCAATACAGATCGTTATTGGATTTTATTCCGAGATAAACTAATCTAGTCCAAACCTTCGTGCAATGTTTGCGGTAAATTTTAATATTATCCTTCCATGTATGCCTATGTCTTCCAGGCACTTTTTCCTATCATGATTTACGCTATGAAATTTTGTACTATTTCTCTTTTCTCCTTGTTACCCAGGAGAACACGCTTTACGCGAACGCTCTGCCCCTGCCGCGTGCTTAGATTCGAAACGGACACACTTTTAAAGACGTTTTCATTTCTCTTTCGAGTAAGATTTTGCCCTGCGTGCTGGTAATACGACAGGCTGCAGCAGGCCTATCTAATAGAGATTTTGTTTTTCTGTTTATATAATTAAACCACGGCCATCAAATTCATTTTCACAGCTTATACGCAACCCAAACATAAGTATTCTTCACAAAGTGTGCATAAATACTTGTCTTATTTTATAAGTACGAGTACGTGTTTTTACAGGAATCTTTTCATTTCTAACTGCGTGTTTGGCTCTATGCTCTCCCTTGGCTAGATTATCTGGTTTATCACATAAGAAACTCCGAACGGTGCCTCTGTACTAAGCGTACAATAGCGTCGTCTGGTTATGCATAGCAACCTGAAAACCTATTCCACGAACCCTGCAATTTAAGATTTTGTGGAAGTTCTTTTAACAGTACTGTACCGTATCATATCAGTGTTTTGTTACACTATTCACAAAATGCTTGCGTCATCTACCATTATGTAATAAGCGTTATAGATAAAATATTAGATTATTCTGCGTAGCCGTGGGAATTTGATACCGACGTCATGGCGGGTAGGATGACATCTTATTGTCGATATTTTCAAGCGTCCTATTTTTAACCACAAGTCAGATCTTCTTTTTGGCTTTTTGTTTTCGTGTCTCTTCAACTTGACTCCACCATTATTTGTTCAGAACAAAGGTAGTGGGAGAATTCCACGCTGTCTGCCTAGTAACAAGCAGTTACATACGATTTTCTTATTTCTAATGCATGGCTAAATATACTGTTCTAAAATTATGAAATATGATGTTATTTCCTGTTAAAATGCCCTTTTACTTTCTACAAGTCAAGCCTCATGTAAAGTTATGCCATTTCATACCGTATAGTAATAAATGCAAACGATCATTTTATGTACCAATCGCTTTTGAACTTTTTTTAGCCTTTCGATCTATATGACACGAACACAAGTGTTTCTGTAAAGTATG